ACTCACTCACCCGAGCTGAGGAACCCCGCCTGGGCCTTCCTCGCCCCCGCCAGCAAGCTAGCTAGCTAGCGATCAATATTATTGCCAGGAGATGTTGGCTAGTTAGCTAGACCTAGCTAGCCAGCGTTGTGAACCGGGACCCATGCTTCGAGCGGCGGCATCCAACTATTGAGGGGCCCCCATCAACCCTCGGGGGCCCCCCCTGTAGCTCTAAGAATTGTTGAGGGTCTAGGGGGCCCCCCGGGGCCCCCCAAAAGAATTTGTGGTGGGAGGGATTGGTTTTTGTGCTGCGTCTGGCGGTCGGCCTGTAGCTCGTGCAGTGAAAGCAGCAGTTGCTGCTGCTGCTGCTGCTGCTGCTGCTCCGTGTCGTTGCTGCAGCGGCTGTGTAGCCAACTTCTTTGTTTTAGGCTCAGCAACATTTTCAGGGTGCATAGGCCACCGCCGGCTGGTCTATATATTGGGGCTGTATGTGCTATATATATTATATATTAATATATATATATATATATCATATGTATGTGATATATATAATATATATATATATATATATATATATATATATATATATATATATATATATATATATGTATATATATATATATATATATATATATGCTTCTCAGCCTGTCTCTGTTATTGTCTATAAAAACAGTTGCAATGTTTGTCTGTGGCTGCACTGCTCCTACGGCTCTTGAGGGTTGCGGTGTATGTACACCTCAAACCCTAAACCCTAAACCCTAAACCTTAAACCCTAAACCCTAAACCTTAAACCCTAAACCCTAAACCTTAAACACCTCAAATCGAGTGCGGGAAGTCCAGCGCCAAAGCGCCGAAACGGGAGCCCCCACGGGGCCCCTATTTGGGAGGGGGCCCCCAGGGTCCCCCCCCGCAGCAGCATCAGTTTCTGCTGCTGCTGCTTGTTGCTGCTGCCTCTATTTGCTGCCGCTGCATCTGTTTGCTGCTGCTGCACAACACTGCCCTTCTGCTCTGCCTCCCCTCTCCCTCAGGCCTATAGAGGGCCCCTCGACCCTACATAATTAGAACCCAGGGGCCCCCCCGCCAGAGTTGGGGGCCCCCATGGGGGCCCCCCCCCCAAAGGGGCTGAATGCGACAGGTTTGGCTTCCGCTGCTGCGCCTGGCTGCCTGTTGCTGCTGCTGTTGCTGCTGCCGTTGCTGCTGCCTTGCTGCTGCTGCCCGCCTCCTAAGCCAAACACAGGGGCAGCCCAGGGGGCCCCCTGGCTGGCGTTGAGGAGGGGGCCCCCAAACACGGTTTTGGGGGCCCCTGCTGTACCCTCATCTCTGAATCGAAATAAACTTTTTGCTGCAGGCTCCTCTGCCTCGCCTCGTTCCCTACGAACACCTACCCGCTGCTGCTGCTGCTGCTGCTGCTGCTGCTGCTGCTGAGCTCCTGATGATGGCATCAGGCTAGCCGCACCCGAAGAACCCCCCAAGGGCAACAACCCACCAAAGAGACTGGGTGCTGCCTTTGGTGCTGCTGTGCTGCTGCTGCTGCTGCTGCTGCTGCTGCCGAAGGGCGACGGCTGCGCGGTTGTTGCTGCCGTATTGCTGCTGCTTCCAAAGACAAAGGGGTTGTTAGCTGCCGGTGCAGCACCTGCTGCTGCTGCTGCTGGTGCTGCTGCTGCTCCTGCTGGTTCTGTTGCTGGTGCTGCTGCAGCTGGGGCTGCTGCGGCGTTGCTGCTGTTGCTGCTGCTCCCGAATACAAAGAGAGGTTTTGCTGCTGCAGTTGTGCCGCCAAAAAGACTCGGCTTGCTGCTGCCGCCTGCTGTGTCGCTGCTGCTGCTGTTGCTGCTGCTGCTGCTCCCAAACAGTAAAGGCTTGCTACCCGGTGCTGCTGCTGCTGCTGCTGCTGCTGCACCGAACAGGCCCCCTCCTCCCGCTGCTGGTGAGCTGCTGCCTACAGAGCCAAAGAGGCTCGTGCTGCTGCTGCCGCCGAACAGCCCGCCTGTGCTGCTGCTGCTGCTACTGTTGTTGCTGCTGCTGCTGCTGTTGCTGCTGTTGCTGCTGCCCCCAAATAGGGACGTTGGTGCAGCAGCAGCACCGCCGCTACTCAACGGAAGTCCGAAGATAGGAGTCGTCTGGCTGCTGCTGCTGCTGCTGCTGCTGCTGTTGCTGCTGCTGTCCTTGCTGCTGGCGCCAAAAGTAAAAAGCGGAGGAGTCCCCTTGTTGCCGCTGCTGCTGCTGCTGTTGCTGCTGCTGCTGCCGCTGTCGCCGCCGCTGCTGCTGGTCTTGCTGCTGCCGAAAGTAAAGAGGGGCGGCGGTTTCCCGCTGCTGCTGCTGCTGCTGCTGCTGGTGCTGCTGCTGCCTGTAAAGGAGAAGAGAGAAGGTGCTGATGGAGCTGCCTTTGGTATAGGGAGGCTCCCAAATAGACTGGGTTGAGCGGGTGCTGTCTGCTGCGTCGTTGCTGCTGCTGCTGCTGCTGCTGCTGCTGGCGCTGCTGCAGCGGGAGCTTCTTCTCCAGCAGCATCAGCAGCAGCATCAGCAGCAGATGAATCATCTGCGTCGTCGGCGAAGCCCTCTGGCTCTATCTGCACCTCGCACGGCTTCCCTACATTTGCAAGCCACCAGGGCACAGCAGCAGGCTTGCTGCTGCTGCTGCTGTCGCTGCTGCTTGTGCTGCTGCTGCTGCTGCTGCTGCTGCTGCTGCTGCTGTCGCTGCTACTCGCGGGCTTTGCTGCACCGGTCTCGCTGGCTCCAGCAGCAGGTACCGCTGCAGTAGACGGGGGCCTGAAAAGGCTGCTAAATGGACCTCCACCAACGCCATCTTTGCTGCTGCTGCTGCTGCTGCTGCTGCCGCTGCTGCTGCTGGTCTCTGCTGCTGTCTTCGGGGCTGCTCCATCAACGCCCCCAGCGACCTTCTTGCGGGCTGGTGCTGCATCAGCTGCTGCACCCCATGGTTTTGCTGCTGTTGCTGCTGCTGCTGCTGCTGCTGATGGTTTGGGAGCTGCTGCTGCTGCTCCGAACACGGTTGGCCATCGTGCAGCAGCAGCAGCGTCAGCAGCAGCAGGTGCAGCAGCAGCAGCAGCATCGTGCTTATTGCTTCCAAATGAAGGAAGAGTAGCTGCTGCCGGTGCTGCTGTTGCTGCAGCAGCACCATCTCCTGCTGCTGGCTTTGCTGCTGCTGCTGTGTCACTCTCCCCACCAAACGCAAACAAACGTGGGGTCTGCTGCTGCTGCTGCTGCTGCTGCTGCTGCTGCAGGCCGAATGTGAAGCCAATAGCCCCACCGATGCTTCCAGATGCCTTGGGTTCTGCTGCAGCTGTTGCAGCAGGTGCTGCTGTTGCAGCTGGTGCTGCTGCTGCTGCTGCTGCTGCTGCAGGCTTTACTGCAGCTGCCTTTGCAGCATCAGAAGTGCTGCTCTCTTTTGCTGCTGCTGCTTCTGCTGCTGGCATCTCCGCAGCAGCAGCAGATCGGCTGGGGCTGGCTGCCGCTGCTGCTGCTGCTGCTGCTGCTGCTCCTGCTGCTGCTGCTGAGGCTAATCCCCCGAATCCGAACAAACTTGGGGTGGGCTTGTCGCTGCTGCTGCTGCTGCTGCTGCTGCTGCTGCTGAGGCCTGCTGCTTTGCCTGCAGCTGTTGTTCCTGCTGCATCTGATGCTGGAGCTTCATTTGCTGTCCCTGCAGTTGCTACTGTTTCCGTCGCTGCTGCTGCTGCTGCTGCTGCTGCTGCTGCTGCTGCAGTCTTCGATGCAGCACCAAATAAGCTGCCTGCTGCTTCTCCACCCAGAGCTCGCCGTGCTGCCAGCAAGGTAGGAGAACCCCTAGCAGGTGCAGCAGTCTTGCGGGGGCTGCCTGCTGCTGCTGCTGCTGCTGCTGCTTCTGCTGCTGCTGCTGCTGCTGCTGCGGCGGCTGGGTTCAGCGCTGCTGCTGCTTCGGCTAGCACTGTCTTTGCTGCTGCCTCCGGGGAGTCGTCTGCTGCTCCTGCAGCAGTATCTGCCTGTATTTGCTTCTGCAGGGTTAGCAGCAGCTCCTGACGTTTCTGCTGCTGCTGTTGCTGCTGCTGCTGCTGCTGCTGCAGTGCTGCATCTGCCTCCGACTGAAATAACTCTAACAGCCGCGACCGCCACCGCATAGAGTGGCAGCGGAGATACAGCTGCTGCAGCTCAGCTACAGAGACGTCTTCCTGCTGCTGCTGCAGCAACAGCTGCTGCTGCAGCAACAGCTGCTGCTGCTGCTGCTGCTGATGCTGCAGCTGCTGCCGTTGCAGCAGCTGCTGCTGCTGCTCTACTATCGCCTGCTGCTGCTTTAGAGCCGGGTCTGCTGCGTCAACAGCAGCCGAGAACATAGATCGCGGGCGCATCCCCGTTTGCTGCTGCTGCAGCAATTGCTGCTGCTGCTGCAGCAGCAGCTGCTGCTGCCCCAGGTGTGACAGAGCAGCCAGCTGAGGCTGCATGTGCTGCCGGGGCCCCAGGGGGCCCCCATACTCTCCTTGGTAGGAGGTGAAGGAGGCTGCTGCTGCTGTTGCTGCAGAGCCTGGTCTGTAGCCTCCACTGCGGTGCTGCTGCTGCTGCAGCTGTCGCTGCCGTTGCTGCTGCTGCTGCTGCTGCTGAGAGCAGCAGATATAAGGGAGGGAAGATGTGGATAAGTCTGCTGCTGCTGCTGCTGCTGCTGCTGCTGATGAAGGCTCCTGCGGCCAGTTTCCTTGGGGCCCCTGGTGGTAGGGGATCTGCTGCTCTAAAGGAAGCTGCAGAAACTGCTGCTGCTGGTGCTGCTGCAGCAGCTGCTGCTGCTGCAGCATTTGCTGCTGCTGCTTTTGACCGCGGTTATGGAAGGGTGACCCAGAGGCATCGCTGCGTGTCTCACTAAAGAAGGAGCTGCACTCGCTCACTAGCCTGCTTTGCTGCTGCTGCTGCTGCTGTTGCTGCTGCTGCTGCTGCTGCTGCTGGGTTACGGGGGCCTCCAGGGCCCCTCCAAGGGCACGATACAGGAAAGACGAGACCCGCGAGGCGAGCCGAGATAAGAGAGAGGGCCCCCCCCCACCGCCGGGGGCCCCCTGGCCCCCAGGGGGCCCCTGCAGCTCAGGGGGCCCCTGGCCGTCAGGGGGCCCCGGGGGGCCCCCATAGGGATGAGCCCTGTGGAGTTGCCGCTGCTGGTGCGGCCGTCGTTCTACGTAGGTCGACATAGCTGCTGCTGCTGCTGTGGTTGCTGTTGCTGTTGCTGCTGCTGCTGCTCCTTGTTGCTGCCGATGCTGCTGCTGTTGCTGCTGCGGCTGCTGCTGCTACTGATACTTATGCTGCTGTGCTGGGTGGGGACTGAGCAAGCGAGTTGAAATTAAAAACAAAAAAGACGGAAGGGAAGAGGCCAGCGGGACGGGTTCAGCTGCTGCTGCTGCTGCTGCTGCTGCTGCTGCTGTTGCTGCTGCTGTCTGCTGCTGCTGCTGCTGCCTGCTGTATGCTGTAGACAGCAGAAGGTGTGGGGTTGAGGCTGCAGCAAAATATGGGGAGAGAAAAAAGCAAAGACTATTAAATAATTACATCGGTTGCTGCTGCTGCTTGTGCTGCTGCTGCTGGGCGCTGCTGCACCGCTGCCGCCAGCAGCCACAGCCACTGCAGCAGCAGCAGCAGCAG